GAAGGAAGGAAGGAAGGAAGGAAGGAAGGAAGGAAGGAAGGAAGGAAACAGAGAGAGAAATAGAGAGAGGAAGAAGACAAAAGAGATAAAGAAGAGAGAGAGAGAAAGGAAGGAAGGGAGAAAGGAAGGAAGGAGGGAGAGAGGGGAGGAGAGGGAGGGAGGGAAAGAAGAATGGAAGGAAAAAAGGAAGGGAGGAGGGAGGGAGAGCGGGAAGGAAGGAAGAAGAAGGCAGGCGGGAGGAAGGGAGGGAATGAGAGAAACAGATGAAAAGAGAAAGAAAAGAGAGAAAAGAGAGAGAGAAAGGATGGAAGGAAAAAAGGAAGGGAGGGAGGGAAGGAAGAAGAAAGGAGGGAGGGAGGGAAGGCAGGCAGGCAGGCAGGCGGGAGAGAGGGAATGAGAGAAACAGATAAAAAGAGAGAAAGTAAAGAGAGAAAGGATGGAAGAATGGAAGGAAGAAAGGGAGGGACGGAAGGAAGGAAGGAAGAAGGAAGGGAAGGCAGGCAGGCGGGAGAGTGGGAATGAGAGAAACAGATAAAAAGAGAGAAAGAAAAGAGAGAAAGGATGGAAGAATAGAAGGAAGAAAGGGAGGGAGGAGGGAGGGACGGAAGGGAGGAAGGAAGAAGAAAGGAGGGAAGGCAGGGAAGGCAGGCGGGAGAGAGGGAATGAGAGAAACAGATAAAAAGAGAGAAAGGATGGAAGAATGGAAGGAAGAAAGGAAGGGAGAGAAGGAGGAAGGAAGGAATAAACAGATGGAAATGGAAGAAATGAAGGAAGGAAGGGTTTTTGTCCCCCCGCCCCATTCCTTTGGACTCTCGAGCATCCCTCAGGAAGACATTTAAGATTTAAAAAGCCGGCCCTGTTTTCATGCTACTCCCTCCCTCCCTCCCTCACTGAGGACTAGAACCTTTGCCTTCCCATTCTCACAGTTGGGGGGGGGGGGGGGGGCCCCCACTGCCCCCCCCCCCCAAAAAAGGCTCGGCCTGGCCTCCCCATCTCAAGCCTCTCTCCCTTCTCAACCCAAAGACATTCCTGGGCCGGGCAAACCCCGTTTCCTTTCCCTTGAGCCAGCCTACCTCGCAGGGCTGTCGTTAGCGGAGGCGGGGGGAGGAGATAAAGAGGCTGGCACGGGCTAAACCCAAGCCTAACCCCGGCTTTAACCCCGGATTGGGGCGGGGGGAGGGGGAGAGAGCGGCTACCCCTGGGGGAATCCCCCCCCCCCACCCCTCCCCCCCCCCCCACGCTACGCACCTGGAAGGGATTCCCCGCGTCCCCCTCGAAAGGGTTCCCCCCTCCGTTCTGGCTCATGCCCGCTGTTCTGCCTCGCTCCCTCCCCTCCCTCCGCGACGGGCTCTGCCGTTCCTTCCGCTTTGCCCGCAGAGAGAGAGAGAGAGAGGGAGAGAGAGAGAGAGAGACGCTCCACGCTGATTGGCCGGACGGGCCCTGCGCGTCACCCCCACGAGCTGGGTGGGGATTCCCCCTGCGCGTGACGGGCGGGGCGAGGCCCCGCGCACGCGCGCGCCGAGGGAGGTGTGGGGGGGGGGGACCGACGGGAAATGTAGTCCGCGCCAGGTCAGAAAGCCGAGATTTAAAAACGTCCGGGAATCTGGTTTCATGAGGGTTAGCAATGGAAAGGGGCTTATTTATTTTTTTTGCAGCGAGTTGTGTTTTGAAATGCCTTTTAGATTTGGTTATATTATATAGGCTTCTTTTCCATCGTTGCTTTCATGGAATGGCAGAGCTGGAACGGCCCTTGGAGGTCATCTAGTCCAACCCCCTGCTTTTTAACCAAGTCTGGTTGCTTTATTGCCTGTAGGCAGATGGGCAGCTGTATACACTTAATCATGCTAATAATAATAATAAGGCAATAAACGCGCGCACACACATGCGTAAAAGGTTTAAACGTGGTTAGTGGATCAATCCACAACTTAAAAGGCTTCATAAACTAGTTCTCGACTTGCGATGGGAGGGCCAAAAGTCCTGTTTGCTAAATGAGGGCAGTTGTTAAGTGAGCCGTGCTCCGTTTTGCGACCTTCCTCGCCACAGGGGGTTAAGTGAACCGCTGCGGTTCTTAAGTTAGTGACGTGGTTGTTAAGTGAATCCGGAGAGAGACAAGAGAGAGACAGGGAGAGGAGAGGAGAAGAAGGCAAAAGAAAGTATAACAAAATATGGAATAGAATATAGAATCAAATAGAAAATAGGATAAGATAGGATAGAAAAGAAGAGAAGAGAAAGAGAAGAGAAAAAAGAGAAAGAGAAAAGAGAAAAGAAAGATGAGAAAGAGAAAAGAGAAAGAGAAAAGAGAAAGAGAAAAAGAGAAAGAGAAGAGAAAGAGAAGAGAGAGAAGAGAAAAAGAAAAGAGAAGAAGAGAATGGAAAGAATAGAAAGAAAGAAGAGAAAGAGAAAGAAGAGAAAAAAAGAA